GGGTGCAGCGGAAGGCACCGAAGAGGACACCGCCGCCAACACCACCGACACTGCTTCCAGCGAAGGAAATGCTACGGCGGCAAGCATTCCGGCTCCCCTTTCCTCTGCGCCCAAAAATAACGCGCCGGAGAACAGTGTGGGAACTGACGCCTGCTTCCATTACACCCGTCTGCATGCCCTGCCACCGCTTGTTCTGGCCGTCCTTGCGTACGGGACACTGGGCTGAAGAAATGACTGCGGAATATAATTGCTAGCACTCAACCACGTGGATCTGTGCGCTTCTTTTGTTTTACAGAGTAATAAGTAATAGAAAATTATGATTGTGAGTTTTGCTTCATTTGCTTCTGCTGCGCTGCTGTGCGCTCCATGTTGTTGCTCCCTGTATCCGTCACTTGGCACGCATCCCAGACACACTCGTATGCACGACACGCATACAACTGTTTGCGTGAACGCATGTCTGTGTGTGGGTGCATGTACGCTGGAGCCATTCGGTGCAACTCCCTCTGTTTTGTTTTTTTTGTTTTTACTTTCTATTTTTCTGTTATTGTTTTGCTACTTGTTTTTTGCTTCCTTCAGGGAGTTGTGAGTTTTTTTTCATTTTTTAATGGTTTATTTTCTTTAGTTTTTTTTTTTTTTGTTTCCTAATCTTTTACTCCACCATCCCTCTTTTTTTCTTTTGGGGCAATCACTATGGATTTTTTTTTCTTTTCTACTCTTCCCTCTTTAATTGTTGCTGCACTCTTCCTGTGAGGGGTGCCGTGTGTTTCCCGCCCAACTGCTCCACTCGCACACCACCGACACGCTCATGACGACGGCCCTGTGCGCCTCGCCTGCTGCACGCATGAGGAGGGGCCGCGACGAACGGCGCGCTGAGGGAGCCGTGACGTGTGGGCGTGCGACGAGGGCCTGTGGGGCGGAGCACACATTTCTTCCCTCTTGTTTTGTTTTCTTGCGGCCAGGGCGGGCAGACACCCGCAGCGCCACACACACACAGCCACACCCTGCCGCCGTGTTTTTAAGATTTTTTTTCTTTTGTCTTTCGTGTGCATTTCACGCGCCGGCATTTCTTTCGGTGTCGGTCTTGTGAGCATTTCTTTTCCCCGATGATTTTTTTTTCGCTGCGCTCACTCTCCCGATGGAGTGACGCGACTCCCGTCATGTCTGCGTGATTCTCTCAGTCCCCATGCACACACACGAGTGACTGAGCTCTGCAGGCCGCACTCACGCGCCGATGAGAGGACTGAGGGGAGCAGCAACACGCGGATGGCCCCATGAAATATAAACGATGTGCGGACACACAGAGGGTCGGACGGCTGAAAGACATGTAAATTTCTTTTTTGGGCAAAATATTTGCAGACAGTTTGGTGTGGCCACACGGCAGCCGGCTGCTTTTGTTAATTTGTGTGGAACAGTAATGGACGATTTCTTTATTATTTATAATTATTTTGTGTGATGGGGTTTGTGTAAGATGAAGGGGAAGCTTTTTTTTTCGTTTTGGATAAATCTTGTGTGAATTGCCACTGCTTGGACTGCGGTGCAGTCATGAGTTTGAGCGGTCTTCTTCTTGTTGCTTCCGTTACGCGTCTTTGCTGCACGTTTTATTTTTTGCGTCTCTCCACATACTCTGCTCCCTCTTTTCTACTTCTTTGCTTTGTGTTTCTGCAGGCACACACAACCACGCACACACAAGATGCACATTGCGGTGGATTTGAATGCTTCTTTTGCAGTGCATGCTGGCAGTTGCGTGTGGCGGCTGTTGTCTTCTTCGTTGCCATGAGGAGAAGGGAGAGGGAGTGTGCAGCTCGAGTCTCCTTTCCTGCGGGTGTGGAGCACCGCGTGTGACTGCGTTGATTTGGGCTCCGTGTCCCATTGAGGGCGGGATGGCTGAAATTTTGTTGCCGCGTCATGGATGGATGAGGGTCCACTGTCGCGTGTGGCTGGTGTGGTGGGTGCTCGCTCCGTGTGCGTTGTGTGGTGGCCGCGGGTTTTGGCCATTTCCCGTTGGCGCTGGGAATGAGCTGGGAGGAGATGGTGGTGGATGTCCTCTCCTCCTGCATGGTGGGTGGCTGCTGGCGTTGTGTTCTTTTCTTGCGTGGATGCCGTCTCGTGGTGTGTGAACTGTGCGGCTGGGCCTGCTGCCCTCTCCTCATGTTGTCTGCTCTCACTCTCTCGCTGTATCCGCTGCACTTCGTTCCTCTCTCTCTTGTTGCATTCTTTTTCTTCTTTCTCACGGATCAGCTGACTGGCTCCAGCGACTCCACCACGGGTGACGATGACTGCGATGACGACGGTGCGGCGCCGTGTTGGTCCTTGCGCTCTTGTGCTGCTGCTTGTCCGTGTGTGTGACGGCTGCTGGGAGTACTGGAGATGCATCTGGTGGTGCGGATGCGGTGGTAGTGCCGGTGGATGTGTCGTGTGCTCCGAGTGACGGCGGCCTGAGCTATCGCGTGTGTGTATGGGCGTGGAAGAATTGTTCTGCTGCCATTGCTGAGGCTAAGCATGAGAATTACACTTTCAGTGGCTTTGATGTGCGCATGCATGGCAGGAATGGTGAGCTGGGTGCTGTGCGCCATGTGGCCAATGCGGTGCACACATGTGGCAACTGTGCTGCCAGCTGTGCAATGAAAGAGGAAGGGGCCACCGTTGCCTTCACGATGAATGTGACGACACATAAATACGCCGGCCCTTATGAATTGTGGTGGCGTCAATTTTCCCCGATGGAACCATCCATCCGCCTGCACGGAGCAGCGATGCTGACCGGACGGGAATCCGTCAGTTGCCGCCACCCCGTGAAGGGAAGGATGACACAAAATCTGGTGGGACAACTGCGCCGCAAGTGAATGCTGAGCCGTCACGTCAAAACGAGGATTGGCGACGGTCTGCGGCGGCTGACGGACCCAACACCGTCGATCCGAGTCCCGCATCCAACACGGCGACCAACACGTCCGAGACGAGGCCTGAGTTTGCCAGCAATCCGATCGAAGTGATGGTCCCGAATGCATCCACGAAGAGGCCTTCCTTTGCCAACGGTCCGAGAATAGTAGCGGCGCTGAATGCATCCGGGATCATGTCCGTCACTTGTGGCGGCAGGGAACACGTTGCTGCGGATCACATACGAGGTGAATGAGCACAACGCCACCGGACACAAATATCCTTTCTTTAGAAAATGGCGTTGCAGGCAGTGGATTTGTTGCTGAGGGTGATGCGGACGGATTGACCCAACGCATTGCCTCTGGACACGAGAACCCCAATTACGAGAATTCACCGCGAAGTATTCCGGGAGCGGTGGGAGTCCACACGACTGCTTTGCCCTGCTCAACTTCGCGAAATTGGCACTGCGAGAGTTAACTGTTCACGGCACTGTGCGTTTGTGCGTGTATTGGGTTTTGCTTCTTCTTCTGGGATTGTGTGGAGTTGTGGCGGTATTGTGAGCCAAAGAGTGTGGAATTGCGGCTCCTCACGGATAACATGTGCCGCGTTCCCTGCGTGTATTCTTTTCGGTTTCTTTTTTTTTTTTTTTGCAGTTGTCTTCCTGGAATGATAAGCATCCTTGCTGTTCCTTTATTTAATGGTCGGTTGCTGCACACTGTCATGGGTGACGTGTTTCTCTCTCTTTTTTGCTTTTTTTTTGCCCACACACGGTGCCGGCCTCATTGCTGTGCGTCCCACGGACTGCACGAAAGGAGGAGCGGAGGAACAGGCCGGATGCCGCAATGAAGTTTGAGGGATGTTGTGTGGGCTCGTGGAACAGTACGATCTCTTTTATTTAATTTAATTCCGCTTCTTTTTTGTTGGTGCGGGCAATATGTATACACAGACACACACGGTCGTCTTGTGATGCGCGGCACATGAAATAAAAGTCCCGCCAAATCAATTTTTATTTTATTTTTTTCTTTTAATTTTGGGAGTCATGCCGGACTCCTATCATTTTTTTTTTTTTTGCCTTGCCCACTGCCACTTTGTGTTCCCGTTTCGCGTTGAGTGTCCCACTGCTTGCTGTGCTGTTGACATGCCCTTCATTTATTCTTTATTCTTTCCTGCTGGAGGCATCGATTTTCCGTGACGACGATTGTTTGTGCTCCCTCTGCGATGGCATGAGGGTGACTGGGCGCCGGCCTGCTGAGTGCACTCGGAGGGGAGCGGATGGTGTGCGCCGTGCCTCATTTGTGAGTGTGGGACGCCAATCCGTCGGGGAAGAGAGAAGTAAAGGACACCACCGTGTAATTGGATTTGCCCCGTTCCTCTTGTTGCGGCCGTTTTTGTGCTGTGCGCATGGCTCTATCTTGCGGTGCGACGTGGATGGCGTTGCTTTTGCGTGTGCCCTCGTGCATCAGTTGTGCGGCGGACTTCTTTTTCCCATGACACCGCCCTTGTGTGTGGGAGAGTAGAGGGAGCGGAGGTGTGGGGGAGTGAGGGTGGCCGTTGTTTCCGCACATTTGTGTCTTCCACAAAAGTGGCACCTCTCGGCAGCCTCTCGCAGCACCCAGGCCGTGGATCGAGAGGATGTTAGGGTCTGCTCCAAGCACAAGGAGGACAACAAGATGCAGTGCATGACGGCCAACCTGATCCGCGAGTGGTTCCAGCGCATGGAGCGCGTGCGCCAGTACGCGTTGGGTGTTGCGCTCATCATTGGGGAGGGGAGGCGGCACGACATTGTGGCGCTGTGCGGCCGGGGCATGCCGGTGATTGTGAGGACACGGAGCTGTTGAAGTGAGCGTGTCGTGCCTGTGAGGGACTGAGTAGAGGGAATAACAGTAATGGTGACTGTGGGAGTGTGAGGAACGGGTCAAGGGCGAGGAGCACTTCTTTTTTTTTGTTTTTTTTTTATTTGTTTTTGTTTTGATTTTTGTTGAACGGCGTCCACCCAATTGTTGTTGTGCGTGACTCTCATCGCTGGATGGGGCGGTGCGTGGCTGTGTGACTTGTCTCTTTTTTTGCTTTTACTCTGCATTGACGTGTTGTTAGTTTGTGCTGAAGGCTACACGCAAGTGACAGGGGTGATGGCGATGATGACTGGTCGTGTGCTGCTGGTGTGTGTCCTCTGCGCGCTGTGGTCCGTTCCGGCCGATGGAGATGTTGTTGTTTCTGGTGGGGACGACAGTATTTTGAAAGAATTATTTATTCCAGTTGCGAGATTGCAGTTAAGACAAGAACAAAGAGCAGCAGAAGCAGCAGCTGACGCAAAGGCAGCAGCAGAAGCAGCAGCAAAGGCGGGAGCAGCAGCAAAAGCAGCAACAGAAGCAGCTGAAAAAGCAAAAGCAGCAACAGCAGCAGCCAAAGCAGCAAAGGCAGCAGCAAAAACAGCAGCAGCGAAAGCAAAAGAAGCAGAGGAAGCAGCAGAAGCAGCAAAGGCAGCAGCAGAGGCAGTAGACACAGAGGAAAAAGCAAAAGCAGAAGCAGCAAAAGCAACGGCAACATCAGCAGCAACAAAATCAACGACAGCATCAGAAGCAGCAAAAGAAGCAAAAGCAGCAGCAGAAGCAGCAAAGGCAGCGGCAGAGGCTGCTGCAGCAAAGGCAGAAGAAGCAGAAGCAGAAGCAGCAGTAAAGGCAGCAGCAGAGGCAGTAGCAACGGCAACAGAAGCGGCAGAAGCAGCAAAGGTAGCGGCAGAGGCAGCAGCCACAGCAGCAAACGCGGCAACAGCAGCAGCAGCAGCAGACAAAGATGAAGCAGAAGAAGAAGATGATGAAGCAGCAGCGGCAGCAGCAGAGACAGCAGCAACAGCAACACTAATAGCAACATCAGCAGCAAAAGAAGCAGCAGAAAAGGCAGAAAAAGCAAAAGCAGCAGCAGAAACAGCCGAAGCAAAAGCTGCAGCAGCAGAAAAAGCAGCAGCAGAAAAGGCAAAAGCAGCAGCAACGGAAGCGGACGCAAAAGCAAGAGCAGCAAAGACAGCAGAGGCAGCAGCAGAAGCACTGCGAGGTACAGCAGTCGGAGAAGAGGGAGGAAGAACAGCAATACATGATCAGGATAATTCAGTCGAACACCATTCTGGAGAAAAACAAGAGCTTCTACAAGAAGAAGGACCGGAACGACAAGAAAAAGAACAGCATGAAGAGCAGCAACACCAACAGCATGAACATTCCGCAAGAAATGGTGAAGAATCCGCGAAAGACAATACTGCTAATGGTACAAATGCAACCGCAATTACGGACGACAGTGACGGCAGCACCGCGGTCTCCCACACCACCTCCCCTCTGTTGCCTCTTCTTGTTGTTGCGTGTGCGGCTGCGGCTGCGGTGGTGGCCGCGTGAGAGTGAGTGTGGGAGAGCCGTGCACCGCCCGCACACACACTCGTCCTTCTCTCTCTCTGTGTGTGTGTCCCCTTGCATGGACTCTCGCCCTCACCTCACCCCACGAGGCACACACAATAATGTGCCCATTGTATATATGCATGCACACCCATGCAGGCCCGTTGGTGCTCTCTTTTGCACGACACGCACCGCTGCCGTCCTGCCTGGCTGCATGGGCGGAGCACCGTAACTGTTTCTGTTTTGTTTTTATTGCATTGAGTGGGCGACCTCTCTCTCTCTCCCTCTGTGTGTGTGTTTTGCTTTACGGGAGTAATGAGAGTGTGTGTGCGCTGGTCGTCCCACGCTTCGGCTTTTTGTTTCTTTTTTTCATTGTTTTAATTTTTTCGTGTTTGTTTCAAATTCTTTTTTATTTTTCGTTTTTTTTTTCTGTTCGTTGCTTTTTTTTCCAACGTCCCCACATCCCTTCCTTTCTTTGCTTTTGGGGGCAATCACTATGGACGGTTTTTCTACTCTTCCCTCTTTTAATTGTTTCTTCTGCACTCTTCCTGTGAGGGGTGCCGTGTGTTTCCCGCCCAACTGCTCCACTCGCACACCCACCGACACGCTCATGACGACGGCCCTGTGCGCCTCGCCTGCTGCACGCATGAGGAGGGGCGGCGACGAACGGCGCGCTGAGGGAGCCGTGACGTGTGGGCGTGCGACGAGGGCCTGTGGGGCGGAGCACACATTTCTTTCCCTCTTGTTTTGTTTTCTTGCGGCCAGGGCGGGCAGACACCCGCAGCGCCACACACACAGCCACACCCTGCCGCCGTGTTTTTTTTTTGTGGATGTTTGTTGCCACCTTGCGTGATTGTTGAGGTTGAGGTCGTACCGCATGTATCGCTGTCATCCAGATGTTCTTATTGCTCTGTTGATGTGCCTCCCTGTGGTCCTCCTCCTTTTTTCTGCTTTACCAGCACACAGGAAGTAAGTGTTTGCACAGTACTCTGGAGTAATGTTTCGGCGAAGGTAGGGACGTTGGCTTACGTCTCGTGCTGAAATGGCAACACGGCTGCACGATGCCCGCCATGCGTGAAGGTGCTGCCTGCTCTTGGGGCATGCTTTTCTCCTCGTTTTTTTTGCTCTGCCGGTTGCGTGCGTTGCTCGGTGTGTGCTGACGCGTGACGGACGGTGCCACGATGGCCTACTCTGACGATGACGGTCGCTGTGCTCTCGACACACATCCACACACTCTTTCTTTTCTCTCTGTGGGAGTGATTGCGGCAAGGCATTGCTGCGAGCGTGGTGGGGACCACGACGGCGTCACCCCTCGAGAAGGTCCCATGCACTGTTGGTTGTGGAGCGGCGAGGCGGTTTGCCTGCAGATTGACTGACAGAAGCGCACAGTCGTTTCATTGCGGTCACTCCGTCGGCATCACCCACTGCGGTGGTGTCCGCAGGAGCCGCCGCCCCGATGAGGATGGCCTTGTAGTTGTCTGGTGGCTCAGAACTTCATGCCCTTCTCTCTTCAGGATTGCCCTTGCTGCTCGACTGGCGCAGCACCATCCCGGCATGGTTCTTCTGCAGGAGTGCAGGCAGCAGAGTGCCCCAGCGACGAGGCTCACTGGCTGCGGTGACTTCTATCAGGCCTGCAGTGGGCGCGCCGGTGGCGTGGCCTTCTTGGTGCGCCACACCTTGCCGTGCGAGCGCCTGTAGCTCGTGGCACCAACTGCGTGGAGACCACCGCCTTCCGCGTGTGCCCGCCGGCCAGCCCCAGCATGTACGTGGTGGACCTCTGCAAACTTCTACGGCAATTGCTCACACTCTCACTTTGCGAGCACCATTCGTCGCCTTGGTCCTGCAGCGGTTATTTGCGACCTGAATTCACACCATGAGCTGCGGGACGGTCGCTCACCATCCACGACGGCAGGAGAGGACCTTGCCGTCGTCCCAAGCGGCATGGACGCTGAGCTTTCCGACGACCCGGCACAGACAACGTGGATCAGCGGCTGCAGCGTCTCGTTTCCCGACGTGACTGCGCAACGCGCACTGTGTGCCTCCCACTGGACATCCACCCGTTTAAATGGACTCGGACCACCATCTGCCATGCCACACTGCAGGGACGGAGGACGGCATCCCGCGACAGGCAGGCATGCTGCCACGACGGAAACATTTCGCCGTTGTCCTGCGTGAAGCTGACTGTGATGCTTCCACCTCGGCGTGTGGAACACCTCTGGCCGCTGTAATCAAATGGTTGGAGATGCACCGAGGCACCGTACGAGCGGCAGCCGTGAAATTCCCACATGTATCTGGACGGACGGAATGTAGCACGCCGAGTGTGTTGCAGCGGCAGCCTGCCACGAGCTGAAATGCTCCGCAAACGGGAGGACCGCAATCACGCCCTCCGCGGTGGATTCTCCATGCTGCCAGATGTCCGTGCGAAACATTTTGGTGCCCTCCGGAGCCCAGGCCGTGGGATGAATTAAAACAACTGACGCATGCTGCATAAGTATAAAAAGCTTATTCGCTTCAAAAGAATAAAAAAGACTCACTCTCTCAAAAGGTAAAAATAAAAATAAAAATTCAAGCTTCCGCTGCAAAAGCAAGCCATCGATCAAAAAAGAGGAATGATTGCACTCAACCACAAAATCAAAAAGGAAAACAAAACAAAAAGCCGAAGCGTGGGACGACCAGCGCACACACTCTCATTGCTCCCGTAAAGCAAAACACACACACAGAGGGAGAGAGAGAGAGGTCGCCCACTCAATGCAATAAAAACAAAACAGAAACAGTTACGGTGCTCCGCCCATGCAGCCAGGCAGGACGGCAGCGGTGCGTGTCGTGCAAAAGAGAGCACCAACGGGCCTGCATGGGTGTGCATGCATATATACAATGGGCACATTATTGTGTGTGCCTCGTGGGGTGAGGTGAGGGCGAGAGTCCATGCAAGGGGACACACACACACAGAGAGAGAAGGAAGAGTGTGTGTGCGGGCGGTGCATGGCTCTCTCACACTCACTCTCACGCGGCCACCACCGCAGCCGCAGCCGCACACGCAACAACAAGAAGAGGCAACAGAGGGGAGGTGGTGTGGG